AGCTGCACCCTGCACCCACATCCTCCTACCCCCCTACCTCAGTCTGTAAATTATTTTAAGTTATAAAGGACTGCATGGTATATTTATAGTTTATACAGTACAGAAAGAACCTCATTATTTATTAAACTCTTTTGGAAACCTTTTGTTTTTTGTAATTGATTTATGGGCAGAAGTCTTCAGAAATATGTTCATTTTAGTCTCTCTGACCACAACTCTGGGGTGTTCACAAGGCCTTTGAGGAAGGTTTCTACAAAAAGACAAGAGTTTTCACCCAGTTTTCACACATATTCCTCTCTTTCACAAGAAAGTTTTCCTCACAAAACTTGCCAGTTTACTGTAACTTTATTTCATATGGATTTTTTTTTGCCCAAAGACCAAAAGACAGAAAAAGACCTTTCCAAATTTGCTTCCAGTGTTACTAATTATCCAATATTAATCATGTATAATTAATCATCTCAGTGAACTCCTGGTAGAAACACTAGTCATAGAATCATAGAATCAACTTGGTTGGAAAAGACCTCCAAGATCATCAAGTCCAACCCTACTGTGGTCACTAGACCATGGCACTAAGTGCCACATCCAGTCTCAGCTTGAAAACCTCCAGGGATGGTGAATCCACCACCTCCCTGGGCAGCACATTCCAATGCCTGAGCACTCTCTCCAGAAAAAAATCTCTTCCTAATCTCCAACCTAACCCTCCCCTGGCAGAGCTTGAGTCTGTGCCCTCTTGTCCTGCTGCTGGTTGCCTGGGAGAAGAGACCAACCCCCACCTGACTCCAACCTCCTGTCAGGGAGTTGCAGAGGGTGCTAAGGTCTCCCCTGAGCCTCCTCTTCTCCAGCCTGAACACCCCCAGCTCCCTCAGCCTATACTCCTTCATTGTTGCCAGATCAATTTCTAAGTAAGACCTTTAGTGCCTTTTTTCAAATTGCAAAAATAATCCATTCTGAATGACTTTGGGACATTCATCTGCACAGGAGGAGAATCTAGAAGTGTGTATTTTCATATTAAGATGGTATTTTACAGCTCATTACTTCTGAGCTCTGTGAGAGCGATTGGATTACAAATGTCAATATGCAGATACAAATTTTGAAGTCTCACATGGCTCATAATTCAAATTTGATAATCTCTCAAGCCAGGATTTTGGCAGTGGGGACCTGATGTAGGAATGAGTCTTCTCATGCACAATAGAAGAAAATGGAGAGATAAAACTAAAAATAAATCACCAAGGCTGTGTTTTAGGACCCCAAAATAACCCTCTGCTCAAACTTTCTGTGTGTTGGGGAGCAGTGATCTCCAGAAATACGTGGTGGAGCCTGAGGCTTGTCATGGGAGTTTCAGTCACTGCACACTGAAAAATGCTGCAGATTCTCTGGTTGTTTCCTTTGGAAGAGCAGCTGTTCTCCATTGCAGAAACTGTTTCAAAACAAATACCATTAGGGTTTTGCAGCTTGGTTTCTTCCCAATCCTAGAGGGCACACTTTCACCCTTGCCTTCCCTCCTGCACCATTCTTTCTCTAATGAAAAAACCAGACCTGACATTTGCTTCCTCCACGTAAGCAGCACAGCAGGGCAGCAGATCTCCAGAGAAAATGCTTTGGGTAAAGTAGTGCCAGTGGAATTCACTAAACCCAGGCAAGATGTGCTTCCTGTGCCAGTCTGTGTGACATGGAAGGCACTGAAACCATTCCTGACCCTCACTGTTCTGCCAGTTTTCAACCCTCTCTGGTAGGTGCTATCAGTGTGGGGCAGCAATATCCCAGGGAGAATGTTTTGCTCTCTCCAGAACAACATATTTGCAATATTTTCATGAACAGTATGTTATCCAAAAGGTCAGGGAGAAGGCAGGATCCTGACTGTCTTGTATCCTCCAAATAACAGCTTGTTCTGGAGCAGAAGGAGGCAAGGAAGGCTAAGGAGTACTCAGAGTGCAGTTCATGTAGGCATCAGATGCCCTGACACAGCATCAGAACAGCAGTGACAGCCACTTGTCTGTCATCACAGCAGGGATGGAGAGGGATATGGGATGCACAGCACCAAGGAAAACATGGAATTGAACAGAGTCTACCTGTGCTCTTCAGGGATCTTAAAGCAATGGCTTAAAGTAACCAGTCTGGTTTGGAACTGCTTTTTCCTACACCTGACACAATGGAACTAGAGAAAAACGAAACTGCTGCTTATTCAGGACCCTCAGGTTTATGGACATTGCTATTGTTTTATCACTGACATAACTAAATTGCAATTGAAAGTGTTTCCCAAATGCATTTGGTAATTCCTCAAAGTGCCTTCCAAAGGCGTTTGGTAATTCCAAACATGTGTAAGACTTGGAGTTTCTTCAGAAAGTCCCAAAACTGATGACTTTCTTTCTGAGGAAAGTTGGAGAGAGGGTTTGACAAGGACATGCCATGACAGGACAAGGGGGAATGGCTTCAAACTGAAGGAGGGTAGAATGAAATTGGATATTAGGATGTAACCAATTAATAGCTAAGGCAAAGGAAAGCTACTTCTATAAAATAACATCAACTAGAGGGACTGATATGGAGGAGATTTAGTGAAAGAATTGCATAGTCGCTATTGCAAGAACCTAAAATTCTCTTTAGGTTCTGAGGAAAGAAAAATCAAGACCCTAATATTTAAAAAGCAAATCAGACCAGACTTGGCTTCACCTTTAGCCAAATGCCACAGGCATGACACCCACAACTTCACTCCTGCTCAGTTGGTTTGATTAAGGAGCTCAGGTTCAATTTTGCCTGGGGGAAAACAGATCAGTCTCTAAAAAGGTGAAGATGTGAATCATAATCAGTTTCCATTGCCCAACATGGGACTCATCCTCTCATCACTGCTGTAATTGCATTTTGGTTTGGTGTGGGTTTTGCTGAGGGGGCTTGGGAATGACAGTGGCACATGAATGAGATCCCACTGGTTACTCAGTCATTCCTAGTGCTGAGGGGATGCCAAGAGTCTGGAGGGCAAGAAAACCCATTCTAATGCCTAGACCTGCCATCAGGCTGTGCTTCATTAGGCCTTGCCTTGATTATTTTCACTTCAGCTGCAATACAGACAGGAAATGTTGACATTGCCAGGGAAGAGATGGGTTACATAACCCTCGTGCTTTCTCCCACTTTCCTTTCATCCCTTACATGACACTGCTGCTCCATTCTCTAATCCCTTGTTCAAACATGGGATTAAGGAGAAGCCACACCCTTGCCTGCTCCTCTTTAGCAAGCAACACCTTTCATGAGAGCAATTACAACCACAGGGAAATTACTTGCAGGGCTTGGAATCACTAGGCATTGTGTTTTCACTTTTCCCTCTCCGTCTCCCTGAGGAATTCTTTGCTCTGGAGCAGTCAGCTTCTCTGGGCCTACAAATAAGCTGTTCTGATATGGCATCTCTAGCATGACATAAATCATTGGACCTGATGTGCAATCCCAGAACTTGGTCAATAAAAGCATTGAGGAGTGAACATTGATAGTTCAGGGTCACCCTTCAAATCAAGAAGTGAAAAGAAATTAGCAAAATGTAAGGAGCACTAAACGTAGCCCAAAGTGGAAGAAAATAGGGAATAACTACTATACAGCAGTGGAATAGAGAGAGAAAACAATCCAGCAGAACACCTGGGCAAGGGCTGAGACTAAGAAAATACAAGTCAGAATTATGCAGATTCCAGCCTGACCAGGAGACAGTATCCATTGGTTTTAGACAGCCTAAGGGAATCATGACAGGACCAATATCTTGTTAGCAAAAATGAATATTCCTTTGGTTTGGTTGGTGTTAAATAGCAAAGCAGCTCCATAATGGCTAAAGCCACAGTGGCATTAGCTGCACATCTTGGTGCTACAGCTCAGATATGTGCAATCCTCAGAAAGGGTTTTGCAGGTTGGGGACCTTGTTTGAGCATTCCCAATTTCTCCAGGACAGAGCTCTCACCTCTTTCCTATATGCTCAACTCCACAGCAGATCCACTGCCTTAAAGTACCAGATAAAATATTTGGTCCTTATCCTCCCAGTTTTAACTTCTTCTGCAATGATTAGTTTTGCTTTATCGATCTAGTAAGCACTTCCTAAGTGTTCTTCCTGCAATGATTATTTTTGCTTTATCAATCTAGTAAGCACTTCCTAAGTGTTCTTTGAGTTTTCCTTAAAGTCCTTCCAGACTTCAAACAGCACCAAGTCCTTCATGATGGAATTGAACACTCATAGCTTTTTGAGGGTTTCCATAATCTCCCTAAGACATGGAGTGATGAAGCTGCAAAGGTTTACTGTGCCTCTTTGCTCAGGAAATCTATCAGTTTGCTACCTGCTGAGTGATGGGGACACTACAATCTGACTCCAACCAAAGTCAGTGGGGTAGGGTAGGAGGTTTTTCCTCTGCATTTCTGCCAAATTGTTCTGCAGGACAAAGTTTACTTGCTGTACATCAAAAGAAAACTCCCTCAAAACTGCTCATGCCTCAATCAGCCATGTAGGTTCCTGCTTTAAATGCAGTTGGCCTTTCCCATTGAAGCATTGCTTGGGCACACATGGCTTTGGAAGAGATTTACAGCCCAAACCCCAACAGACCTTCTCTGCAAACTGCTGCTTCGCTTCACCCTCCAATTCAGTGAGTGTGTGAAGGCTCCTTCTGCCTGGAAAAGACAAGCCTGTACTGAGTGCACTGACTCATGGATGGCTCTTTTTTTATCTCCTCTATTTACATAATCCAGCATACACAGTGGCCCCTCTTCAGGCATTTAGCAAGATCTTGCCCTTAAGGTTGGGATCCAACGCGTGATCGTTGGAGAAATGAATCATCCAGTTGTAAAGCTCTGCAATAACATTCAACCCAGGTAATACCTTTAGCCTCAGCTGAACACGGCGCAGATGCTCGAGGCAGCTCCATGAAAGGCACATCTGCTGTTGTTACTGATCAGATGTATCCTCTGGGGATTTGGTTCCGTTTCCCTTTTTTCCTCTTGAATCATTTGATT